ATTTTGAAATATTATTACAATTTAAAATAACTATTTTCTATGTGAATAAATGTTAAAATGTAATTTCTTTCTGTGATCAAAGTTGAATTGTCAGCATCATTACTCCAGTCTTCAGTGTCACATGATCTTCAGAAATCATTCTAATATGCTGATTTGCTGCTCAAGAAACATTTCTGATTATTATCATTGTTGAAAACTGGACATTTTAATGTTCCTAGATTCAAATACAAATAGTGTTATATTTTGGGTAAAAATAAAGTCAATAGAATGTTGTACGAAACATTTTTGTAACATTTAAACGTTCTAATCACAAGAAAACTGGACATTTTAATGTTCTTAGAAACATTTCAAAACAACATTCCCACAACGTTGATATAACCTAATTTGTTAGCTAGGATCTTGCAAACTGCAAATCCATATAGTCAGGGTTGCCAGGTTTGCGTGACAATACTAACCCATGCCAGTCAAAACAGCCCAAAGTAGCCCAATGACCATATCCCAAATATCAAAACTCAAAATACCGTATTGGCCCGAATATAAGACGACCCTGTTTATAAAACGACCCCCCAAGAAAAAAACATTGTCTTATATTCGGGACAATACGGTATGTCATTTTTAATAACTGATTATCTACTTAAAATACATATTTTACAGTCCCTGTTATGCACATTGATCATAAACACAGCGCAAAGGCTTCCTTCCAGTGGCCCTCCTTCACAAAACAATCTAGTGCAGTTTTATCATAAGTAGAATGCAAAATATTTCAATACAAACATTTCAGTCAAATGTAATTTATGCAATATTTCAAACCTTTAACCCACAGGGAAAAATCAACCCACAGAAACAGTTTAACGGTAGCACAATTGCATGGAAAAAACACAGACTTGGCAACCCTGCATCCGACACGAGCTGCGGGAGTCAGATTAGACTGATCTTGGGTGGAGAGTAAGGAGAGATGACTGACAGATCGTGCTGGACAGATCCTGAGCTCACTGATCTCAAATATCTGATCTCGTAAGAGGGTCTCCTTTACACAGAGTGGCGTGTTGGCAAAACCGAAAGTGAACAGCGAGCGCTCATTCAAAAGCAATTTCAATACCCTAAATTTTGATTGCGCGACAAAAGCGAATTTAATTATTTGCGCGAGTAGATTACAAAGTCAATGCAAAGACGGGAATAGATGCGAATTTGCGCCGGATGAGGCGAATAATGCGAATTGAGCAACGCGATTGCCGCGAACGTGCGATATA